GAATGAGAGTCATCTCCTAACCTTGCTTAAGTCTTTTCAGCATCGAAGTAACTGCTCAAAGGTGCTCCAGAATTTGGCAGGGCAGCCTTCCACACTCCCTCCGCCTTGCGTATCTCAAGATGGGAAACAAAGTAGAAGCAAAACAGCCAAAAGCAGATAGATGAATGGAGAAGAAAAAAGTGGACTGTCACCCACTAAATAATGGAGCTCCTTAGGCCAGGAATCACTTTGGCCAATCCTACCTTGGAGACTGTTGTGCTTCTTCAAAGGAGGAGGCCAACCACATACTCAGCTACCCACAAATCACATCCTTTGAGTGGAAATCCCAGCTGTATACATTTTGCTTTCCTGCTAGTGTTTCATTTTTTCCAAACGTTTTCTTCCCTCCATGTGGTTGCCCAGACCAATTCATGTACTTATTGGCATGTTATGAAACATGGAAACAATTAAAGACCACATTCAGGGCCCTGGAATGACTTGCTAGAGAATCAATGAACTCCGCAAAACTTGAGAGGATTTGGCAATACACATGGAAACTGTGGAGTGGAACCCACTAACAGTATCTTATGTCACACAGCACATTTTACAGCAGTTTTATATCGATCTGTGTGTTTCAGGGAGCAATCATACTTTGCCTTCAAAATCAACAGCTTTTAGACTTAATTTTATTTTGTTTATATAGCCTAGTGAAACTCACAAAATATTCATCTTAACAATTTTCTTATCAGGCTTTGTAACTGAATGTACACAAATGGAAAATAGTTTCACAAGATACTACTGCAAAGAGTGCCAGCCGAGGGTTCTTTCAAGGTCATAATTGAGGTAGCATGACAGCATTTGAAAAATCAAAAAACTTGAGTTTTCAAATGACCAGTTTAAGTCCTAAATCAGATTCCTTCTTGTTATAGGCTTCTTTAACTGTTTCGATGCTAAGAATGGTCAGTTATCTAGAAAGAGAACAGTCAAACTTCTAGCAGTGTGGTTGAACCCAGCAGCCTTTTGTCTTGGACTCTTCTAACTCAGGGAAAATAACAAGCACTGCTGACACACCTCAGGCCAGAGTAGGTGAATGAGACCCAGACAAAACAGCTTGAAAACATGACACTAGTTGTAAGGGCAGAATTTCCTACATCGTAAACACTGACGCTGGGCATGGTGGCACATGGCTGCAATTCTAGCACTCTAGGAGGTTGAGGCAGGAGTATTGTAAGTTCAAGCCTGGTCTGGACAACTTAGCAAGACCCTGTCTCAAAAAAGACAAAGAAATAACAAAGGAGTGGGAGGCTGGTGGGGTGGTACATGTCTGTCATTCCAGCACTCTAGGAGATCAAGATAGAAAGCTGAAATTTTAAGATCAGCCTGGGCAATTTAGTGACTTACCAAAAGTAAGAAAGTTCAAAAAGGGCCGGGTATACAGCTCAGTGTCAGAGTTTCAGTTCAGTCCCCAGTATGCTAATCAGTTAGTCAATCAATTGATCAATTAGAAAAGGGAGTGGGGAGGAAATGTAAAACTTAACCTAAAGGAAATGTGGTATCACAAACATGCTACCTTTAGGGACAGTAGTCATTCCTCTATGTAATCTGTGTCTGCATAACTCATGACTCTTATATATATTGTTTCAAGATATGGTTACAGTAGTAGTAGCAGCTGCAATGCCACTTTGTTTTATTAGCAGACTGATTAACAAGTTCCTTGTGCCAAGGGCCTCCTTCTTGAGTCTGTGTCCTGGGGAACTCAAGTACAGAAGAATCCCATGGTCTGAGTGCCGCTCTTCCTGACCGAAATGCATAGGTATGTGACGGTGAGCACAAGGGGCAGAATCAATCATGCAAAGTGGCTCCATGAGATCGGTCAGGAGTTACTGTCAGCCACAGAAAAACAAATTCATTTCATTTGGGGGCTAAAACTGAATTATTCAGAGGCCAGCTTTAGGGGAAACTGATGCCATGACACAGTTACCCACCTTCTAACCAAACAAAGTAGCTGAGACTCAGGGAGCCTCCTTGCCTGCTTCCTCATTTTCGGCACTATCTGCACAAACCCTTCCATATACTCCCCAAGGCAGAAATGAGATGCAGATGGGGTAAGTAACATGCGTGCCACCATGCAGCTATTCAGGGCTAGGGGTGAGACCTGAAGCAAGACACTTCACTGTAAAGCACCCCTGCTTGGAACTCGGTGTGTTCCTCACTGAGTCCTCCTCGCTCATGACAGTGACCCCGTGCAGTGCTGTACAACACCAAGCTCTCTTTTCTTTCCTCATGCCAAAGCCACGGGCAACAGGAATTACTCCACACTTCTAGTTCACAGAAGTGTCAACCACAGGGAGGAACTGTAGCTTGAAAACCACAGTCTTAATCTAAATAATGAAATTTCAGGCATTAGCCCTTGCAGATGTTCCTCCTGTGGTACCTGGATCACCTTCCTTTATGAGGGGCACTCCAGGCACATCCTAACTGGAGCCAGGTTATTGCAAGGGTCACCTTTGAAGTTGGCTGCTGGGAAATGAGAATTCACTTGACTTTCCAGGTCAGTCCGCAGAACCCACAATGTTCCTAAAATATGAAGCTACATAGTTCAGCAACAACTAACCACTATTCATAACGTTGTTTATATAGTGAAAGTCAACTTAAGTTCTTTGAGAATCCAGAAATGCCTTCCTCTTTCTTCTTCTGACTTTAGGTAAAAGAACAAATGGGCAGGACAAGGGTCAGGTAGGAGATGTGAACAGGGAGAGGTGAGATGAGGGAGCAGAACATTGCTGAACCTGCCCAGGTATTTGGATATTTCTTCCCAGATGGAGAACAAAGGGTTTGCAGGTGCTGGGCATCAGGACTCACTTGTATGGTCACACTGATGATGACTGGGACTCCTCAACTGCCTACTGGCTTATGCAGGTCATTGCAAGTTTAGGTACAGGCTGATCCAGCACAGAATAAAAATTATAAGACAGCATTTTAATTGGTGTCTTTAGGCCATTTAACACGGGAGAAAGATAGTTTGCAAGAGCAAAGAGTAATTAATGAAGGGAGCAAACAAAGGTTCATTTAGTAACTTCCAAATAAGTTCCTCTGTCTGAGGGGTGGGGAAAGGTAGCCTGCAACAGAAAGATAAACTGCAGGTATTTAAGTCACAATGCCTTCTGCTGAGAACTGCTCATTACCATCAGATGCTGCAGTGACAGTGGAACCAGTGTGAACTAACTTTATTATTAGAAGCAATTAGGGAGAAAAGGGGGCAGAATTTCATTTGGTTATTTCAAAACAAGTTTCTGGGCACAGTTTAATGAAGGCCTGCAGTGTCAAGATAAAATGTGTATTTTATTGAAAACAGCTTTGGTAAATGACTACTTGTTACCAGCTGGTATCTCCAGGAAGAGCAGACAGGGTAAGTTGGACTTACATGCATGCCATAATATAACAGTTCAGCTGTCTCAGCTTCACAGAACTGTTACCAGGCAGTGTGGCCTGATGGGTAAGCACATGTGTTCTGGAGCCAGAATGTCTGTCTTCAATTCCTACCTCTGACCTTGGCCAGGAAATGACCTTGGAGGACCTTTTATAGTTTGTTTGAGCATTGGTTTAGTCACATATAAGGTAGAATTCACACCAGTTTTCACCTCACAGGGCTTTAGTGACATATCAATGTATGTTAGATGCATATAATTATTAACTGCCATATCCAAGGGTCATTTGGGTCAGAGGTTGCTTTTAAAGAACCTGCTTGTATATAGAGTCTATCCTGAACACAAATCAGTAAGGGACCCGTTTATAACCTTTGATTGGCGTTTACATATAGAGTCAGAGACAAATACTTATTTTCAGAATCACAGTTGCTTTTATGTAAGTACTTTTCTGACAATATTTAACATCTCTATGAAACTTGGACATTTTGAAATGATGTCATTGCTTTTAAGGTTGAATAGACCATCTGTATACCATAACTTTTGATTTCTAACTTTAACAATAGTTGTTTTTTTTAAAAATATGTTTCTTTATATGACCTTTTCCTTTATTAATGCCCTGAGCACGTTTAACTCTTTCCCTGTATATAAACCTGGCCTAGGAAACACAACCGCTGTGAGCTAAGAACACTTACAATAACTCTCACATCAAGTAGGTAATCAGGCGTTGGCTCCTTCTAAGTGTTTTCTTTAAGTGACCACGGTAAAAGAGACCTTTCACCTGATCGCAAACTCAACTGTGAATGTCTCCACATATTGGTAAGCATATGTGCTATATTTTTTGGAGACCCCTTCACCAAAATCTCAGGTTGAAGATTTTCTTCAGATGGTTAGAAAATTTGCACATGCAGTGGGGAATATGGCACACTGCATACACATTAAGTTTTCATTTTCCAAATCAACAGCATTTAACTAATGTGTCGTGCGCCATTATATTGGACCCATAAGATGAATAAAACTCCTTTCTTGGATGTTAACAAGCAATGACTTGTTATTAAAATCTATTCACTTGGGAGAAATCTAAACTAGCAATATGCCCTCTGTGTACTTATGCGCTTTCTCAGGCTTGTGTTAAACTGTACTGTTTTTCACGTTGCCCTGAATTAACTTATGCTAATTTGAATAATTTAAGTAAGAGCCTCTTTTATAGTATTTAGATCTCACTGTACAGATCATGAGGAACAAAAGGTTGAAAATTCTAGGATGTACACATTGGTGAGATTCTCCCCAAAGCCTGTGGTTTCCTGTTCAGTGTAACTTTAGGAGTAGGTTCAAGCTGACATACTCTTTAATCAACTTGTCTGTATCCTGGAACGCTGTCCCTGTTAGCAATCACAACATCCTAGCACAGGAGAAATTCTGTTTGGAAAAGACCCCCAAAGCTTTGAAGAATGATTTTACTGGAGTTGTTGATGCTCATTCACAAATGAACATCTGTCGGAAAAAGTTAACCTTTGGGAAAGTTTAGACTGTAAATAGAAGCAAACTCGCAACACAGAGAGCGGAGAGTGCGAAGTGGTGTTCACTTCCCCTTACCCTGGATCTCTCTTCTAGTTTGGTCATCATGACAACTGTGGCACTCCGCTGCTCCCATATCATTCTCCAGAAGTCCCCAAATGTCTCAGGAAGAGATCCTTGTGTTGCAATATAGGCATTTTGTTTCCGATAGCCATCTATGTAGTTGGCATTCACATAGTCACTCCCTGGGATTCCTGTAAAACAAGCAGTGTTACTGAACCGGATGAGAAGAGGCTGGACACAACCCAGTGGCAATGCTGTATTACTGTCCCACATTATGCTAGCAGAGGCACCATTTATTAAAGTTTGGGTTTTAAATCAGATGAAAAACAAGTCCTATTATGAGCGCCATGTTTCTTAAAGAAATGCACTACTCAAAGTATCAAGAATTTGTAACGTGACAAAATGGATCACAAAAGAAAGAGAAATATAATAGACGGTTCACACAATGCCTGTTCTCTCAAGGGCTCTCTGCTTTCTCTGAAACAGCAGGAAAAAATAATTCGTAAGGACAATAAACAATCTGGTCACATCCTCCCACATACTCATCCCCTCTTCTAGACAAAAGTCTAAAAAGGGAAAGGATGCTTGAGTCTGAAAAAGAAGCATAAGGTGGATCCTGTCAGAATAACAAATAATTTACTGCAGATTAGCTATCAGGACTCATCAATTCTTTTGATCTTCACATATGAAGTAAATCCCGTCGTGACTGTTCTTTCACAAAAGTGGGAACAGAAGAATAGAGGAAAAGCACAACTTGACCACCTTCACCAAGATGGTGAGACTGGGACTAATCACAGGCAGTCTACCTGCTGTGTCTATGATGTAACATCTGGAGAGCGTTGCTTCTTGCTTTAGTAGCACAGGAACCTGCCCTTGGATGACAACGGTCTCTTAATTTACTGTCATACTTCTAATTTGGTCCTCAATAGTCTGTTCTAGCTAGCATGAGAACAAGTTTGATATATACATATATATATATATATATATATAATTTTTAAAAAAATTTGATTTGTAACTTCTTCAAACCCAATAACAGCATTCCGTTTTACTTAAATAAAACCCCAATTCTTAATATTTAAAATAAAACTGTACTTCTCTAGAAGTACACCTCACCTCACTCCACTTACCTTCTGCTCTCTAGACACTGACCTGCTTTGGTTGTTAGGAAATACGGCTCTCCCACCTCAGCTCCACCTACAGCCTAGAACTCACCTTGTCTCCCTCCTATCCTAAAACATGCAGCCTTTGTAGAGCCCTTCCTGGAGTACACAGGCCCCTCCCGATTCTCTTGAAACCCTTACAAGTACTGTTCCAGGTTAGAATTGTGCATTAATTTTGGTTTAACTTTACTATTATCTTTTTTGACCACCATACCATGTGTCTTTTACTTACCTTTACTATCACTTATAACAAATAATTTGCCCAGTTAGAGCATTTCATAAATAGCAGAGCTGTACTTTACTGGAGATTAGCGGCATAATTCCTAACAGCTAAATTGTGGAAGCAGCCTATATGTCCCTTGACAGGTGAACAGATAGATAAAATGTGGTAGTTATATACAATGGAGTACTACTCTGTCATAAAGAAAGATAAATTTGAGTCATTTGTAGGAAAATAGATGCACCTTGAGACCACTACGTTGAATGAAATAAATCAGACACACAAGCTTAAATATCACATGGTTTCTCTTATATGAGAAGTCCAAATTATAAATAAAGAGCAAAATAAAAGATTATAGCAAGCAGGGAAGTGGATTTTGCTCAAATGGAAAAGGAATCAAGAGATGGAGGGAGAGGGGGAAGTGGATGGAAAGGAGATGAAAAAGATTTAAAATGTGTCATGTACCTGTACCAATCGTCCACAAGGAATATAATCATTGTGTTATACAAACATGTCCTAATTAAGAAAAACTGACTGAAATCCTAATTTTTCTCAGCACAATACCTTTAAGAGGGACACAGCAAAATGTAAGCTTCTTCCCAGCAGAGTGAGCATGATGAAGCAAATAAAAGCTATACCATATGAGAAGACAAAACACAGCAGCGAAGGAAAAGCTAAGGAGTGGATAAGCACTACCTGAAAGCATCAGAAGACAGGTTTAGATTTACACTGAGACCCAAGTTTTCGATTCTGAAGGATATAACTAGAAAGAGTGGAGCTTTATCTCTAGTTCAGTGAAGCACTTTCAAACAATCAAAATACAAAGGGACAGGTCTCCTAGGTAGGTAATGAGTTGCATAGCTCTGTGATGCAAGAGGTACTCTGCAGGGATATCAGCGTGCTATGTAAGGAAGCCTTAGAACTCATCCACAAACCTTCCAGCTCTGGGAAGATACTGTGTCCTGGGATTATGGAAAAATAATTTTTTCTTTATAACAAAACATATGTGCCCAGGCTAAAATTGTATTTCACTGATTGCCACTCACAATTCTTCTGACTGCTTTTCAGATTCTAGTTGTAAAACTGATCTTCTCAAATAAAGTAATGAAAGTCAGATGGAAACAACTGTGCTCTAAGATGAACACATGGAAATGGAATACCACCAGCATTAGCTGAAAAGCTTTCTGAGCTAAAACTGAAATGCACAGTTGGTGGTAGCATTATTCATCTATTACAGCTACTCAAGAAGCAGTTGGGGCTCTGGCAGCTCTTTGTTGATAAAAATCTTATTCCTCCCCTGTACCAAATTACTGCAGATTCAAAGGACAGTTTAAATAACATTCTTAGGTTACAGACCCTGGGAAGTGCACACCTCTCATGTGTCCACAGCATCTGGTTCTGGGCCAAGAATGAGTCCATATTATAACATGGGAAAGGTCTACTTTCAATATTTTAATTTACCAGTTAACAACATTAAGAATAGATAAAAAGAATTTTGGCTAAGGGCCTCACTCAGCTGTTAATATGTGAGAAACTTGGAAAAAAAAAACTCAGAATGGAGAAATCTGGATAAAATGACTTGGAATATGCATCAGCTGGGCACTGTGCCACTTCTTCCCTCATCAAGTATAACAAACGCGTCTAAAATAAATGCACCTGGGGACATGGAGGCAATGTACATGAGAATTATCCCTAAAGGAAGGAATCAGAAACATCCCAGCCTCTTTGCATAATGTTGTATCGACGATTATGTAATGAGTTTTGTTTTTCATTGTAGGACTGAAGTTTGAACAATATAGATTTTTGAGGGGAGATGGGTGGGTATCAAAAAATGGTTACACTTCACAGGGATAAGAACACGACCAAGCTGTTGGGAGTAACATCGTATTGTCAAATGCTTCAAGAATGTGGACTTGAGATTTTGCAAGGGAGAATATTGAAAACAAAAAGGCAGTACTCAGTGAGCTAATTAGTAGGCTGATGCCTACATTCTGAAAATAATGCTAATATTCTTCTTCCATTGAAACACTTGTCTATGGTACGTAAGACCGAAAATGAAAATCTTCCATCAAATTTGTTATGGTTTGTGTCTGGATGTCCCTTCAAAGCCTCATGCAGTCATAGGGTGGGCTTCTACAGATTATGACTAATTCATGGTGCAATGTTGGAAGGATGGGTGTGAGTGCTGCACCTGCCCTGGGGCGGGCAGTTTGCACACAATGTAAGGGAGGGAAAAAGGCTGCTTGCTACCCCTCCTCCCTTTTGCTTTTTTTGCCTTTACTGTTTTCCACTGCCATGAACAGTTGCCCTCTGTCATCTACCATGTTGCCCTCTGCCTTGGAGCCAGCCTAGTATGGACTGAAACTTCCACCAACTGCAAGCTAAATAAACCTTTCCTTCCTTAATTCTGGGCATCAGGTATTTTATCTCAGCACTGAGAAAAAAGTAACCAAGACAAAATTCCTTCACTCACACCGGTAGAAAGACACTTCCAGCAAGTTCTCTCCCCCAGTGCTTTGCAATGCAGAGATATAAGAGACAACTATGTTCTCCAGAAACCCTATGATCTACCAACACCTGTACCTACATAACCCAATGTAACAAGCTGTGCAGAAAGATAAATGAGAGAAGGTTTTTGAAAGAGTGGTGGCTTGTTCTTCTAAAAATATTAACTTCAGATTGGAAACACCAGTCTATTTCAAACACTTGACACCTTGGTTTTCAATAGGACATATTTAGAAAGAGTTTTCAACTAACCCTGTGAAAATATACAATATGTTGTCTTTCCAAATGCTTTGGTGCCATGAAATGCTTTCTTAGTAACTCTTGATTGGAACACTTTTGCCGGGAGATTGGATCTACAAAATTCTGTCATTTGGGTGGGGTGGGGGGGGAGGTTTACATGTAAGCAAAGTACATTTGTTTGTTTGATTTTCGATTCCCTACCTTATCTAGAAGATGATTTGCATTTGCTAATGCAGCAGTAATCAGAGTTCACTACTGATACAAAAGAATTGCTCTGAATTGTTCTGGGGCTCCAATGGGTGGAAATCTGACTTAAAATACAGGACCAAAGCGACACAGAATTATTATACATTAGCTGATTGCTTTTGTTTCTGGAGTCAAGGAGAACTTTCAGTATTCTAGTAACAGTGCTGGCCTTAGGCTTTTGTTGCAGTTTTCATTTGTTATCAATATGAGAAAGAGTCATTAAAGAACAGGAACCTGACAAAGATGTTTGGCTTCCACTACTCATAGGCAAAATCTTAGGGGAGATTGTATTTTCTGTGGGAACCGACCCTTGCAGCCACTAGTCTGAATGTTATTGTTCAAGAAGAGCACATTTGCTCTGAAGACCTCATCTTTCCTGACTTTGCTCCTTGGGTAAATTCAATAGGCTTTCATGATTTCTCAAATATTGTTTAGGTTATATTCTCCAAAAAAACCACAGTTATATAAGCAATTCCAACACCATCAATAATTATTCTAGTTTTATACTAAGAAACCCAAGGCTAGACTCTGCATATTATACCCATATGACTCAGTGTCTTGTACTTCATCAGTTAATGGACTGTTCTTTCTTGTAGCACTTAAACATGTTACTTATACGGTTTAGGCTGAGTCTTTGTGTTCTGGGATAACTATACCTAGAACTGTAAAAAGCAATCCTTTAAAATTAGCAAAGGTTGTGAATAAGTGCACAACTGGTAGAGCAGTGCTTCTGTAATCCTTGTGTACAGCAAGCGAAAAGCAAACACCTATTCAAGCAGAATCAGGCAACTTTGAGGCTCTCATTTTATGTGCTTGTGGT